GTTTTTACCGTTGAACCAGCAAACACACGGCGGGGACATAGTAAGAAAATTTTCAAGCTCAGAGCACACACATTCATTAGACAAAATTTTTTCTCATTTCGGGTAGTGGCTGCGTGGAATGACCTTCCTCCGACGGTTGTTCACGCTCCTTCTAGAACCCAGTTTAAAGCACTATTAGACAACTAGTTATGCGAATCCTCGCGCTGGCGAGCATACTGCCCCGCGCTGAGAACATAAAGAGCGGTGCTACACCCTTTTTCATTCGTGCATTTCAGGTGAAAGGCGGTGACCGACAAACAAGAACAAAAGAGGCCCGGGAAACCTGGGCAAAAGCCTCGATCGTGTGTATCAACCCGTGGATCCGTGGATCCGACTGATCTTATTCCCGATCGTGTGTATCAACCCGTGAATCCGTGGATCCGACTGAATTATCTTATTCCCGGTGTATGCTTCACTGCCCCACCCCCGCAAAATCCTGAGTACCCGCAATACTATCAGTCATACTTCTATTCCGACTGTATCAATATGGTCATCTTGACAGTATGTCACGCACCAGCTTGGAGTGAACATTATTGGTACTGGAATTGCACATGTCACAGCGATGTGTGAATAAAGCAAGGAAGGATCGTTCACTTCTAAGTTTTCTCGTTAAACTTTAAAAAACAACAATAGCTTATGTAGCATGCAGGTGCAAAACTACGAAATTATCACGAGAGGTTCACTAAGAATGGAATCACTTTTGCTCGCTTACGCACTCTTTGGAAGAAGCAGGAGCCAAAAACGCCGAAGTGGACAAGAAACAGCAAACCCTTTTGTCCAAACGAATAGTCGATCCTTACACCCACTGTGTAACGACACGTAAGCTGGTTAAAAATGCAACAGATGCCCACATTTTCCCCTCCAAAAGCGAAATCATTTTTTGGGGGGAAACCACGCCAACACAACACGCAAAATACGAAGCAGTCATTGCTATGCCGGAGAAACATTTTATCAGATTAGGCTGTTAGATGCCCAGCAAATTATAGGAGGTTTCCAAGGGATCCCTGCCACCCTATCTTCAAGCTTTGTTCCCTGCAATATGGAGTGAGCATTGAAGATCCCTGGTGGCTTCACAAACGTGAACAGTCAAAGCCAGGCGACCCCAGAGCTGGAAACAACCCCACGCCCCTCAACCTAGAAACGCAGTCACTTCAAAAAATTATTGTCAGCACTTAACTGTACTCTCTCTGGCTGTCACACCCATAGCTGAGTGGTGTTCAACCTCATCCCAAATGCTTGACTGCAGGACGACCCACAACTTAGGGGCCAACAGCACTCGGTAACATTGAAGTCATGAGCAAAATTCATGCTGCGGTCACACAAGGTTAGCAATTACTAAATAGCCCGCACGGACCAAAGGATTCGAGGAAATAAAATGTGCTTGGAACCATGATCTGAAATGTCATCGGTGGAATTCCGACAGAGCCTGCAAGCGTTCGGCATTCCGACGTAAAAAGGAACCGNCAGATTTATTAGCCAATGAGTAACAGAAAGGAGCTTTGTAAGTGATTTTTGCATTTGTGCTTCCGTTTACCGGCTTAGAATTGTCGTATTCGGGCTCTTATCAGGTTGGCAGTTTACAAGTAATCTCATTGCATTTACGTCGATCCGTTGACGCTCTGACATGTGTTTCCGACGTTTGATTTTCTCGCAATTTGCCATCCATTTTGCGCAACTCTGCTTGCAGTGAATACGGTGCCAATAATTTCTATTGAGCTGTACTCCGCTCTGTTTTCATGGTTGCCTTGCGGTTTCCATCATCAGTAGCTTATTACGTTAATGATAATGATAACGGAAATGTATATTCCCAACTTGTGGGTGGCATGCCGTCTGGCATGATCATGAGCTTACAGTCAAAATGGGGCATGACTGAGGGATTAGCTGGTAGTGGTGACTGCGCGAAAAGGGAACAACCTCATAAACAGTGGGAGGTACTCGATTAAATAAAAATAATGTTTCTTTTGCAACTTGTAGAGAACAATAGGCATGAGGTCCAACTAATTCAAAGGCGCAGTCGGCTGATATGAACTAAAACTGGAAAACCATTTCTGTGAGTGAGCGACCTTGGGCGGTTGAGTAAGTGGTCGGAGTCTCGACGAGCAAAAGGGGAGGTGGAGATGGAATGATTCGAATTGGGAGAACATAGCATGTTTAGTCTCAAAAATATTGTACAATCTGAGAACAATCAGACTCACTGGTTGCGCTGTTATAGGGAAGTCAGGTGGAGGGGTTAGTTTGGATGGGAACATAGAGGTGGTTGAATTCGAACGAGTAGTCCAACAGGTTAAAATGAATGTCATGGTGGCAGTTGGGGTCAACGAAACGAGTAGGCAAGAGGGCACGGTTGAGAGGAGGAATGGAACAGTTGCGGGTGTGCTTTCAAACAGTATGGCAGTGCCGTGCCATCATTGGCCTGATATGCTTCAGTTTTTGGACAGCCCCGTGACGGACGTCACATTTGAGATGATTCAGCTGGGGGTGTGCAGTTCATTGAGCAGCGGTATTCATTTCAGTCTGGTTGAGTAAACAAGCTGCGGGGATGATTTCAGTCTGGTTGAGTAAACAAGCTGCGTGGGATGGTTTAGTGGAACAAATCATCAAATGGATATGTATATAAGCGCAGAACGCGCTCTGATAATGAAATGAAGAAAAAAACCGACTTTAGTTTGGTTTTTATTAGTTAGAGTTAGACCGTAAACACCAGTTACTAGATAGAGCTGATAGAGTTATCCGGGGTAGGGACTCGACTAGGACGAGGCATAAGTTGACTGGGTAGGATAAAACAACCAGGCCACTAACACAGCATAGTTAGAATCAGTAGGTGATTAAGTCGTGCAGTGATTCAGTGAAGAAATAGCTAATTTCGGTTTGGTTTTTGTCAGTAGAGTTTGGACGGGAACAATGGACACTAGATAGAATTTATAGAGTAATCCGGTGTAGGAACTAGACTAGTACGAGGTGTAAGTTGGTACGAGGAAAAAGATAAAAAAAAGAAAACAACCAGGCCAGTAACGCTGCATATTTGGATGAAGTTGGCATTTAGTCCTTGATTAGCTTAAAGCGGGTCGAGAGGATGGGAAGAAATGGTATCAGGATCCTTTACTTGCCTACTAACTGTAACGTCGCTCAACTCATGCGTACTGGACCTGATTCGTAGAGGAGGTCAGAGGGTAGTTGAGTATTAAGTAAGGCGGCAGCAGGTTCACAGGTAAGGAATTTGTCTACAGACTCAGAAAAAGCATGGTGATGCGTGATGCTTCGCAGCTGCTCAGGAAGGCTGTTCCAGATGCTTGTTCAATCCGTGGGCAGAAGCCAAACGGATGCTCATCGCCCGTGAACAGTTCGGAATATCCTTCGGCCACGGATCGCACTGACCTTATTTTGCAATACGGAAGCCTTCGGACACGCAGCTCACTCATGGCAGCGCATAGATAACCTTCAAACTTGATTTCACTTTACCTTGTCACCAGCTTTCCCTGCTTTAGGTCAATCACGGAATCTGCAGCCTTGAGAAAATCTGCCCCAAATATTGTCTGTTCTTTGTCTGGGCTGACCGGGAACGCGTGCTTTACGAACTTGTCGCCTAGGCGTATCGAGTGCATTGACAACCCGTCAATCTTGTTTCGATAGCCATCCACTGCTGTCACGGCTATTGCGCATGGTCCTCATTTAGCTTGATTCCATCTCTGCCTTATCCTGCATCAATCAAGCACAACAACTTCTTCCCGTCTATCTGGATGACGGCTTGTATGGTAGCTTGTGTCTGTGCGCTAATCGCAACCAACCCGGGAAAAGAGAATAAATCAAAATTTGTTATGTACATGTTTCAGGTACGAGGGCATTGATTCTTCCAATTGCCAGGCCTGCCATACTTGTAGCACCGGCTCGTTCGAACGCACCTCCGCAACTCCATCTTTATGGCTGCAAGCTGCTCCACGAGTTGGTCCACTCTGGTCTGCAGTTCGTCCACTGTGGAACCATCCCTTTCTTCCTGCCTCTGCAATACGGTCAGTGGTGCCTCGGCCAATTCCCGTGCCAGATGCACCAGCTCGTCGACACGCAACTGGCCAGTTGCTCGCGCCAAACGCACGTGGGCCACAAGCGCCGGCTTCACACTTTCGACGGACTGGTTGCGCGACAAACCACGAACCAGCGACTGCTGCAGGCCGGCGGAGAACACGGTCGGATCAGATCCAGGTGCCATCCTGGCCGTCTCCAATCGCCTCATAGCATCCTGGCGGTCGGCCGGCGCGTCGAAGCCCACTGCAAGGACTTCCTTCGCGGCGGCCCAGTCAATCTTCCGTTCTGACCGAATCCAGGGCTGCCTTCGGCCGTCCTCTGAAAAGGGCCTTCAGAGCAGCCAATTGATCCTGATCGGTATCCAGTCCAGCAGCTACCGCAATCTCCTCGAAGTTCTCCAGGGAGGTCCAAAAATCCCGATCCTCAAGAGGTTGCGGCCACGGGGTCTTTATCCTTATCCTAATCACGAGACAAAAAGACAGGGAGAAGGCCTTCGCTGTGGAGTTATTCATTAACAACTACCAACTGAACAGCTAGACTATTGGACGGGGGAGCGAATCTCTCAAATGCACCTTGTTTACAAAACTGAATGATTATCTCCTCCTTGGACGCCTATTTCCGAACTTTTCTGCATTTTCATTGACTGGCTCCCAATTGCAAGCAAATGCCACAGAGCGACTCCACAAATTCCGTAATAGCTAATAATAATAATAATGTTCATTCCCAACTTGTGGGTGGCATACCGTCTGGCATGATCATACGTTTACAGTCAGAATGAATCAAACAGGGGATGACAGCAAGCTAAATGGACCCAAGAAGGGTGAATACGTTTGCTGATCTAGAAGCCAAGTACTAGCTGGGCAAAACTGAGTGCCTAGTTTTAGGAAGGTGAGAACTTTGTCGTCGAGGTAGCCAGCAGGGAGGCTAGCAGTTGGACTAGTTGAGAACGAGCGGTAGTTTTTGGCTCACCAAAGCATCATGACATAGGGTCCTTGTTGTGCAGAAGGGGGGGGTTAAT